TGGTGAAATGTCTTTTGATTGGTCACTCAAAATGCGTCTTTGAGAGAAGGCTTCTGACTGGTGTTTGAGTGACTGAATACGTAATGTTTAGTTAGGCCTATGGTGTGCAACTTGTGTGAATGCTGTAGATACACTAGATAGGTGTCTTATTAAAGATTAGTAAAGAAATCAGCTGCGCTCAAAGAACTTATAATGTACTTGTTCAACAAATCACAAGAGAAAAGTCTGATGTCATACATGCATTTACCGAGTTGAAAATGGTCGCCTGGAAAGCCATCTGCTGCCCTGAAACTCATTCAATGCCTTTGTATTCATAATTCAAAACGGCAGTCGGGGAATCCTATGCAAGACAGTCACGTGTTGTCACATTATCGGCCAAAGTGACCCTCCTCCCATTAGAGGTTACTAAAATATCAAGGAAATGAGATGACTGCGTCCCTTCCTCCCTTTGCCAAGGTTCATGTAAATGCACACTCCGTATAAACACATGCTTGGGGGCCTTCCCGAGCACTGTGCGTTTAGACGGAGACTGCTGTAATAAAGCATGATTGTAGTGATAAGATTTACTAACTCTAGAACATGTAGATCTAGATGTTGGGTCTAAAATTCATTACCATAAAAATCAGACTATAAAGCACAACTTCTTTCCTCATCTTTATACCCTGCGGCTTGCACAATGATGTAAGTCCCGGTCTCTGACGGCGGTCCATCAACATTTGCATGAATGCAATTTTTTTTAAAGCCCCATAGTGTTTTGCCACTTGAATCTAAACATGTGAAGTTGAATCTTAAGTTGTAGTTCCACCAGTTTGTCCATAATGAACTGATGATACATCTTGCCGTTTGCAAGGTGCTATCATTTCCTGTTACAGTTAAAAAGTCTCTGATCTGATCATCATTCATCTCAATTGCATCATCTCTATTGTACGTATAAAGTGAATGAATTAATGTTTTTTTACAAGGTTAACATTTTTAATGTTTACTTTCACTTTTAAAAACTTTTTTTCATCTTGTTGCCATTTAGCATCAAGGGGAGTTGCAGTTTATGTTTATGTAGGATAACAAAATGATTCTTTTTTTTTTTATGGTTAGAGGAAAGCTAGTAAAATTGTCTGTCGTACAGATTTATCAGTGCCTTTAGATTGGTATTCCATTGTCAGAAAATATGTTTTGATATAGTTTTTATTGATACGTGCTAGTTTGGCAGTCACCCTGCCATCAAATCCAAATTCAAAACTGATTAATAGGTGCCTTGAATGACAGTCCTAAAATGCTTTAAAAAGCATATCTTGTTTCATCAGTACTGTTTACTTTCTCTTATGCTCACCCAAACACCCCCCCACCCCCCACACACACACACACATAAACACACACGTGCGCACACACACACGCACACACACACACACACACACACTCAAATGTGTGGACACGCAAGTTTTAAAAATATAATTACCTATCATGAGAAGTAAACCCTGCTCAATGGTAGCTATGTGTACCAGGGTAATGTTCTTTTTTTTTTCCTTCTTTGTCTTTGTACTACCTCTTTTGGGGCCAAAATAAGTGAAATTGGCCCTGAATTTACCTGAAATGGTAACTTTGAGGTTGGCAGCCGTGGGTCAACAAAGCATGCGTCTGTGATCTAAATTGTGGTGATGAAGGTGTAAATGCTGAAGTCTCCGCCTAAGATCCCGGTGCTTGGGAGAAAGGAAAATGCAGGATCTTAGGCGAACCGGGATCTTAGCCGAATGGCCAGGGGGAGGAATCCACAGTAACTCATGGTCAGGCCCATAATATGTACAATGATCTTCCCTTACTTTAAAATGAACTGACGTGACTCCTGGCACTAAAAGTTCTCTTTAGAAGTCAAATTTTTTTGGGGGTTTTTTTGTTTAGGGTCAGGGGTGGGGCTTTTAAAAAAATACTGTGCAAGATGGGAACCAGTTGGCTTCAAGCAATGCCCCCCCACCAAAAATGTATTGCTTTCCATCTCTAACAGAGTTCCCCACCCATGTCATAATGCATCATAAATCGTTGTGTTGTGACCACACCGACCAAATATTTAAAAAATGAAAGGCAGGTTCACTGCCAACAGATGACCCCATTACGTAGAGGCGCTCGGACAGTCCAAGAGTGGGCGCCAGTCTGTCTAGGAAGTTAGAGCGCAAAACTGAAAGACAAGAGCGATGGTCGGGAAAACTTAAGCGTCCACGAGTTCACAGTTTGGTAGAAGCGGTCTGACGCTTGCTTGTAGGCCCTCCACACCTAGCGTGTGATGTAAGATCAGGTGGTCGGGGAAAGCAAGGCATCGACGAGTTCACACCTTGGTGTGATCCCGTCTGGGGTAAACATTGTAACCGCTTTTATCGATATTTACAACAGAGGTGTGATCGCATTCATGATAGTGAATGATCCGTGACACGACAGACCGTACAAGGATCGCATATTTTCACTACTTGGTTGATCAGCTGAGCGCGCCCAGGTTTCTTATTCTTTTTTTAAAATTATTATATGAAGAAAAAATAACTAAATTATGACTTAAGAAGCGGGATCTTAGCCGAATGTAGCTCCTTAACAGTACGGGATCTTAGGGGTGACTTTTATATAGCAAAAATTATATTTTTCCAAAACAGCTGGATCTTAGGCAAACCGGGACCATAAGCGGTTGGATTTTAGGTGGAGACTACTGTATACCTACTGTGGATTCTGCTTAAATGGAACACTTTTAAGCCAAGAAGAGTAGTAAACAGAAAGAAAATAAAATTCCTGATTTTCTCTTTTCCCTTCTAAACCGAAAACTGCTAAACTGAAGAAAATCTGGCGGTGCAGCATATTCCAGTTTAATATCAGACTCCACTGTGTAAAAAAAAATCCTTCTGAGGTTGGAAATAAAGTTTCCTTATATTTTTTTCAGTTTTCAGATTTTGATAGCTCTACACATTACTGAATAAAAATAGGTTGCACAAGGCCCAGCATCTGATCTGAACAGGAAGAAAGGAGTTGCCAACACTTTTTTGTTCTTTTCATTAGCATTCTGCTTAAAATTAAATCTGCACAACATGAAGAAATTCTATGGTCACATGAAGTTAATTTTATACACCTTTGAACTTCTGTATTCCAGCACTGAATTGTTCTTTGTGTGTGGATGACTATGTAATCATGAGTTCACCTTTTGTTGTTTTATTTTGAATAGGGTGGCAATGATCATGAGCTTTTTGAGGACCCAAAGACCATCGGCCATACCGTGAAGAACCCAACAGACACTGTTTCGCAGGTCAAGGAGCTGTTATTCAAAGTCTGATTGAAATTCATGCATTTGCTGTTCAGCATCATTTCTAGTTTTATTGGTTTAAAATTGAGATACTTTGAATTCAAGGAAACTTTGTGGTCATTGAAATACAGTATGACATGTAATTCTCAAAATGGTGAATGTTAAAGGAGATTGTTCTATTGTCCTTACCTCCTAACATTTGGTATTTTACTACTGACAAACTCAATAATTTCTCATAATAAAGACTTTGATTCAATTAGCTGTTTACGCAACAGCAAAAATTGAAATCTGAAGGGATTTATGCAGGTTGTATTGGAGGGATCATATTCATGCAGGATGCATACTTCACAGAGCACTTTATGCTTTGCTGGTTTATTTATGGTTTTGTATTCCTAAATGTTGCTTAAACTACAGTGAAGTCCGCTTAAATCCAAATCTGTGGGATTGCCAGTTCAGGTGGATGTCGTTTCACTTTTCTATCACAATCACACCCCAATAAATTGGTCAAAATTGCAGGTTTAGAGAGGCTGCTCAGATAGAAGGAAAAATAAATCAGGGGTTTATATTTTTCTTTCTTCACAGCTGCTTTCGGTTTACTCATGTACAGATTTTATCGGACTCCACTGTACTTGTTATTAATCTTCTGTGTGCTTGTTTTGTGTCTTTTTTGTGCTTGTATTTATTCTGTTGGGGACCATCACCATTTATTGTTGGGTTTTTTTTGGTTGAGTCTTAGTAGAGTATGTTCAAAATTTCAAAGATCTGGTATATTTAGGTATGGTAATGTGAAAGAGAATAATAGGTCATGTCAACAAGATGCAAGGCTGTATTAGGTATTTTTCCAGCTCTTTCCATCAATAACAGTGATGGAGATAGATGACGGATGTTGTTCTGTTTTTCCTTTATATGCATTTATTTAAAATCTCATTTGCTGTAGCCATCATTGCCCATTAGATTGTTACTGGGTATATTTATATTTTGTAAGGTTTGCATCATTTTAATAACTGAAGCGTGTCAATGTAAACGTAAGTGAGAAGTTGTGTGTTCTAGTGCTACCCGATTTGAAGTGCCATAGGTAATGTGAGCAGTGTGATTCACAAACGAATGTGTTTTCCCATTCCCCTTTTGGTTTTCGAGTTTTTGCATTACAGTCAAACTTCGTTGTACCGCCCCATGATATAACCTATACTGCCAGCCCCGCTTACCGCCAAGTTTTCCCAATGTACGAAAAGGAAAGTCTATATACACAGTACTTGGGCCTGTACACCGCCGTCTGCCAAGTGTCAGAGTTGTACGGTCCTTATTAAACTAATGTAAATTTGCCCCACTGTATCACCAATGCATTGGCCGCCAAGGATACACACTACACAGAGCATGGCACCCGCACAGTGGCTACTTGATAATCTCTTTCTCACACTCATCTTTGCAAGCTCTGCCTATTTTGCCTTGATTTGTACTGATTGTGAAATGCTATTAGTTTAAGGCTGTGGCCAATACTTTTTTAAAAATTGGAAAGAAAGTTTTAAATGGCGTGGAGAAACTTCAAAGGAGCTGCACCAACTCCAGGTATCAGCCCAATGACCAAAAGGCTGGCAGGCACCTGTGAGGCTTTTATATTGTGAGGATGCACGCTCATATCTACTTGGTAGATCTATGGCGGGCTAAGGACTGATGAATATCAGGTAAAAATAAAAACAAAAAAACTTGGCTACAGAGTTCTTGACACATACAGCCTAGCTTCTGATCCTATCTTCCTTCAATTGGAATGTACTTAAACTTAAAATTATCCAGAACTGTATGTGTAATAAGTTGCTACTTATTTTTTCTCTGTGCGTGGCAATCTTGCAAGACAGATTTAGATGAGGCAAGACTGGTCACAGTTTGTCTTTAGTCTCTACCACCCTACCACTAATCAAGATGGCAATGGATGGTATCCCGTTATACCGCCAGCCCCGCTGTACCACCAACTTTATGCTCGTCTCAAGGTAGACGGTATAACGAGGTTTGACTGTTTATTAGAATAATTAGATAGTTTTCTGCAGTGACTATTTTCCTCCAATGATGAACATGGCTTGTAAAATTATGACCATCAGTCTCTACTTGCTTTGTCAGCTGTCACCTGTTCTAGCTCTATACATAGTTATTGTTTGTTATTTGTTTTCTTTCATTTTGAATACATTATTTTCAGGGTCATTTCAATCTTTTCCTAACCAGCTGTCTGTGGTGCCTTTTTAAGGAATGGGTCCTTCCACTGCTTGTGGATAAATTATTTTAGGGGGGGGGGGGGGGTAAGAAATATTCTCTACTTGCTGTTGGGAAGCTCCTTTCATGAAGCAATGAGATAAGAATGTTTTTCAAATGGACTGTTTTTGTCTCCTAATTATATGCACATGCCACCAGTTCTGCCTACTATGGGGCATTTGTGATCAGTATTCGATGTTATCGTTTATATTAAAATGCAAATAAACTATACTTACATTCTTTTTTTTAAAGGTTGCTTTTGTTTGCCCTATTCTGTCTTGAGTTCAGGTTGATCTAGTTGAATTTTGTTTTGTTTTTTTAAGTATGTTGTATTTTTGTTGTTGTTATGTTGTTGTTTTTTAAAAGTTTTTTTTTGCGTTTTTGTGTGTGTGTTAATAAATGTAAGACAAGATCATGTATTTCTTAATACCCATGGAAGCAAAGAAAAAGAGATTAAACCGTAAGTCAAACCCATTATACCCAAAACCTCAGGACGAGCATGAAATTGGTGGTGTAGTTAAAGTTAAAGTTAAATAGCCCCAACTACTGAACATCATCAAGGAAAACAATTCTGCCTTGATGAACTCTTTTCCTTTTTCCCTAACTTGATAAGATGGCCTTCAGGCTTCCTGCATCTGACGACCGCTAGTTTGCAGGCCCTGCAGTCAAGTGTGAAAGAGAAGGAAAATTATATCCCTGTGCAGCTGCCGCATGGATGTCACATATAGTAAAACCTGCTAAAACGGCCACCTGTATAAGACAACCACCTATACAAATGGCCCCCATTTTTTCCCTTGTGTACTTTTTTACATTATAATGACACTGTGTAAGACGATCACCTGTCTAAGACGACCATTTACTCATTGACAATGGGTGGCCGTCTCGGATAGTTTTGACTTGTATACTAAAATAACTAAGGAGGCCTTTTCAACACTGAATTTTCATATTGGATTTAAGTGAAAAATCCAGGGGCGGCTGGTGGTTTGTAGAACTGACCGGCTGTAATTCCTATCGATACCTCCCCTTCTCCCCCCCTTCCCCCCCCCCCCCCCCCGGCGGGCAGAATTCCCCCCCTAACGATTAACAAATGGGGAGGGACGGAAGCAAGATGACTTTTTTATACCGACCGCCACCATTTGAAGTTTTTTTTTTTTTTTTTAGAGGGGGCAAATAGGGCAATTAGAGGCGTTGATGTTTTGGCTTAATCTAAGCCATGTTTTGCTCCTGTTAAGCAGTTTTATTCGGGAAAAAAAGAAAGGGGTTGCCTCACCTCAATAGTTAAGGGTGGGGAGCTTAATTGTAGGAGGAGGAAGTATTAGAAGGGATTACAGGCAGGTCAAGAGTTATTTGTGGAATTGGCAGTGTGTCTATGATTCTATATTACACTCTTTAGCAGGAATG